TATCGAGGATATGCAGTACGGATGCTGCAGCATAAAGCCCTATACCCTGAACCCTAAACCCTAAACCCTAAACCCTAAACCCTAAGCCCCTAAACCCTAAGGTCAGGGTTGGCATTAGGGCGATACCTTTGGGACGAATTGAGTCAAACCCTGAGAGGCGGCCTTGGAGTAAAGTGGTTGAGGGGTGACATACTTAAAGGATCATGGGGACTTAGTACGTAGGGTTTAGGGTCTAGGGTTTAGGGTTTAGGGTTTAGGGTTTAGGGCATACTTAAAGGATCATGGGACTTAGTAAGTAGGGTTATAATTAGGGTACCTGTACTTATAACCCCAATTAAGGGACTTATAACCTTACTTACTAAGTCCCATGATCCTTTAAGTAGGGGCCGAAATAGTTGCCTATACTATTTGGGCCCACAGCCTATTCTCGCTATTAAGGCCCTTACAAAAAAGCGTTAGGGTTGGGTTTAGGGGTTGAGGGTGTAGGCATTCGGTGATAGACTTCAGAGGTTTAAAATTTTGGGGGGTGTAAGGTGTAGGGTTTGGGCCCCTAAACCCTAAACCCTAAACCTTAGGGGTTTAGGGGTTGCTCTATTTGTCTACGGGCCGTGTCCGCGACGTAAGGGATTCTTGGGTGTAGTTGGAGCAGAGGTCGAAAGATTGAAAGGCTTCCAATGAACCTAATCCCTAAACCCTGAACCCTAAGCCCTGAACCCTGAACCCTGAACCCTAACCCTAAGGGTCCATGTACTCAAATATTATATTCTTTGGCCTTAAATTCGTCCCTATATAGGTACCCTGGGGCTAAAGTTTATAGTATTTGGGTACATGGACCCTTAGGGTAAGGCCCTAAACTCCGAATCTGAGCCCGAAACTCCAAGCGTTTGGAAACTCTAACTTCCTCCTCACCAAACCCTAGACCCTCAGCCCTGAATTAGAATCTTCTCAACTCCAACCCATATGGTATCGATAAGAAGATGAATAGAATTACGCAAGAAGGTGAATAGCGATAATAACAGGACTGTCATCAATATCCATCGTAATATTTCCCGTAGTAGTAGTAAGATAACGGCAATTCAAGTAATCGTTATGGTATTGATACTTTACTAATAGTAATAAGTAATAACAAGGAGAGTAACAACGATAACACTAACATAAAAATAATAACACTATTAACAAAAAAGAATTAGTAATCATGATAAGGATAATATTAGTAACACCTTTAAAGAGAACAACAATCACAAGGACAATGAAACTAGCGCTAATAGCAGCAACACGAAACGAATGATACTGAACATACTAATAACAACAATAAAAAGTAATCCTCAACTCCAAACCGGAGGCCCTTCGAGTATTGCAACGTACATGGCCTGTACGTCGGCGATATCGTTCAGGCCGTTGAAGGGGTTCGCTGAAGAGTTCCATACTGTAGGGCCCTTGATGACGGAAGGAGCGGGAGAGGGTTTACGGTGTAGTATGGTTTGGTATTCAGGGTTAATAATTTTAGAGCTTTTCAGGAGTTTAGTAAAAACACGCCCACAGGGCGACTGTGGAATGTGCTGCTACTTCCCACCGGGGAAGTATACACTAAGTCTTCAATTATTGGATATATGATGTCGCGAACTATAATACACGATTTGATCAGGTTTTCTTACAGTTTCACCAGTTAAGGGACTTTGGGTGTTAGTGATTTGGGGCTTATAACCTTAAGGGCCCATGTACCCAAATAGTATATACTTTGGCCTTAATGTAGTCCCTATATAGGTACTTTAGGGCCAAAGTATATACTATTTGGGCACATGGACCCTTATAAGGGTCCATGTGCCCAGATAGTATATATACTTTGGCCCCTACATAGGGAATACATAAAGGCCAAAGTACATACTATTTGGGCACCAGGACCCTTATAGGGTAAAGGCTTAGAAGGTTCTGGCTTCCTTTCCGCTTTTGTGTAGGGCTCCGCTGCTGGTTCAAGGAGGATGCTTCGGCATCTACAGACCCAAGGCTCCATGTACCTAAATCATTAATTTCGTATATATACATATGTATATATATATATATATGTATATATATATATATGTATATATATATATATACAGGGGTTTAGGGTTTAGGGATTTATGGGTTTAGGGTTTAGGGTTGACGTGGGCCTTGCTTGAGGATGCAGTGGTTTAGGCTTTGGCCTGGGGTGTTGAGCTCGGGGTGTGCGTGTATGCCTTGGGGCTGTTACGTGGGTTCGGTTCGGGGTGGAGGTCGCAGACAAATCTAGAGTTTAGGGTTCACGGTTCAGGGTCTGGCGTGCTGACCTGTGCCGGTTTGGCACGCTGTGGATCCCAAGCCCTACACCCCAATCCGAAGCCCCACACCCCAACACAAAAGCCGAATTTCGAGGCCCTATGTGCCTGAATTTCGAAACACCCCGTAGCTGCAGCTGTATCCCGATGAGTCCTAAGTACCAGCATGGAGGACCTTGTGCTCAGGAGGCCCTCCTATTATCTAAGACGAGCACTATATCTATGGCAACCGGACAGCGAAGTGGGACCCCTATTGCTCCAAGTCAGGGTTTAGGGTTTAAGGGTTTAGGGTTTACACGCCTCCGACTGAGGTGTACAACAGGATTTCCGGAATTACACCATCATCTCCCAGGATAAGAAGCTAGGTAGGCCCTTGGGACATGCGATATTTTCCCTTCATTAGGCCGCAGAGGATCTTATTTACGAATATTGTTCCATTGCTTGAAAGGGCCAACCTAGGAAGAATGAGGGTCGGCAGAGAAGGATGTGGGTCATGATAGAGGTGAAAAGACTGGGCCTTGGAAGACATGAGGCAATCCCTGACCAAGACAGTATGTCACGGTTTAGGGTATACGCTTTAGGGCTTAGGGCCTAAGGGTTTACGGGGGTTTAGGGTTTAGGGTTTGTTGCAGATCACTAAACTCCAGGCCTCAAAGCGCTTCACAGAGCTTTCAGAAACGCCGGGCTACCTTTATTTGTTCTATTGGACTGCAAAGTGTAATCGCGAGGTGTCCAGCTGGAATTCCAGCGCCCAGCGCCATTGCTTCAAAAGAGAATGCCACGCGCCAAGCTATTCTGCGGCTTAGGTTTTCAGGGTTGATAAGGAGTGCATTGCACTGTATTGGTTAATGGATGGGGCTTAGTAAGTCGAGTGTCAGCAAAGTTGCACAAGCGAGAACCTTGCCACGGCCAAGACCTTTCCCGAAAGCGTCATTGAGTCATAGCCTTAAACATTAAACCCTCAACCAGAGAATGTTGGGCGTTGCGGGGATCCAGTGGCCGGCTTGTTATCGCTTTGGGGATCCAATGGCCTGCTTATTATCGCTTACTTGGAGGGTCATGGGACTTAGTCAAGTAAGGTTACAAGTCCCATATTATTGAGGGTATAAACAATTGTAAGTATAGTTACCTTGTTTATAACCTTAGTTACTAAGTCCCATGATCCTTTAAGTATGCCCTACGACCAAGCTGTCAGTACCTACTATGTTCACAGTTAAGAGCATGACTTGCAGGAATCCTGCTTCCCTGTGTTAGCGGGTGTTGGCTTAAGTCTAGGACATTCTCAGGTGGGTAGTTACCGTTATAGGAGCCTTATAGAACGTCTATATACCTTATAGACGCCTCATAGAAGCTGTATACCCTAAACTCCCCACTTGTAGTGTCCTTTAGTTTAGTAAATTTCGTAGGGTTCAGGATTAACGGTCCAGGGTTTGCTTGAGGATTCAGTGCCCGATGCCTTCTTTGTACGTGCATGGAAGTAGCCCGAGGAAACGGTTTAGGGTTTAGGGTTTAGGGTACGGATGAGCATGGGCCTTTGTAATATTTCCTGCCTACCAACAGTCTGTTCATCGCAATATGCCCGGCACCCCTGCCTCAATTCTTGTCTGAGTTCCTGTTAAGGATTAAATTTAAGCTACCAGGATAGGGATCTATAGGAAGGAATCGAGTTTCTTTCATTTTGGTAGCTTGAGCTACTTTGCTTAAAAGGTCCCAGCTTTCTTATGTAAGACTAACAAAATACACAGAATACTGCCGCTGTCTCTCCTGCTGGACACGACATTTGCCACACCTATGCTATAATCTGCGGTTAGCTTTGTTACTCATACTACGTTGCTACAGCATTAAAAGAAACGGCATTGTGAATGGAGTACTGTCACTCCTGTGGGGCTCGGAGTTTCGGGGATTGGGTGTGACGTAAGAGCATAATGAGAATGTGGCTTAATATGTATAGAGGTTAAAACCAAATTGTACTGAAAGCTTCACCGGCCGAGCGACAATGACACTTTATTCAGTTATGAGCCTGGGAAGTCACCAATCATCACTGATGGCAGCGGGCCTTTACCTAAGTGGGTTGACGGTTTAGGTTTCTACAAGAGCTTGAACTGTAGCGGGTTTTCGTGAGGGGTTTATTGGGTTGGAGTTAGACCAAGGCTTGGTGGCTTGTCATACCGTACTTAAAGGATCATGGGACTTAGTAAGTAGGGTTAGACTTATAACCCCAATTAAGGGACTTATAACCTTACTTACTAAGTCCCATGATCCTCCAAGTATACTTGGGGAGCTAAGGAAAGATCTTTGAACACATGCAGGTCAGATACTCAGGCTTCGGTACTCGAGCCCTTCCCTACACCCTCAACCCTAAACCCTAAACCCGAAACCCGAAACCCTAAAACCCTAAACCCGAAACCCGAAACCCTAAACCCTAAACCCGAAACCCAAACCCTTAAAGGAAACTCCAAGCCTCTGCGTTGTCCAAGGCTCTGACAGCCACCCCTCCCTGGGCCCCACCGCCCCGCGCAGCACTGCCGTGGAGGCGTCAGCTCTACCTCCCCACGGCGATAGTAATTAGGGACCCAAACAGGACACAAGCATAAGCATTTTATCGGGGTATCCCTACCTTATTGGGCTTAATTATAAGCGGGTTTATATGGGATATCCCTATCCTAATTTTGCTTATAGTAACCCTAAGGGTCCGTGTACCCAAATAGTATAAACTTTGGCGCCAAAGTACCTATATAGGGACGACTTTAAGGCCAAAGTATATACTATTTGAGTACTTGGACCCTTAGGGTAAGGGTGTTTAGGGTTTTATAAGGGCTTAGTGTTTTAGGGTTGAGGGTTTAGGGCTTTAGGGTTTTCGGGTTTTAGGGTTTAGTGTTTTAGGGTTGAGGGTTTTGGGTTTACGGTTTTAGGGTTTAGGGTTTTTATGGTTTCAGGATCTTATGATTTGATGGTTTAGGTTGTAGGGTTTTAGGGTTCAGGGGCTTTTATGGTTGGCTTCAGTGTTCCTTTAGCGGCATCCCTGTGATTTCTCTAGTGGGACCCGGGTGTGTTTACTAAGGGTTTATGGCTCTCAGGCTGTTGGTGCCGAGTTCGTGGTTCGGGGCATGATTTCCAGACGAACGATGTGGTTTGGGGTTTAGGGTTTTTTGAGGGTGTAGGGTTTATAGAGTTTGAGATGCATTGCTTCAGCGTCGTGGCTTTCATTGGCCGAAGAAAGAACCGACGGATTCATTTCCGAGCCTGGGGGTTTGGGGTTTAGGGTTACCCTTTCCCCCCAAGGACTCATATTTTAGGGCTTTTGGTCCTAAAAAGTTAGAACTTTTGTGGGCCTGGTTGTTGAAGAAGAGAGTTTGGGCTATTTTGATGCTAGGGTTTAGGGTTAAGGCCAGCTCAGACTCAGCCCCTTGAGAGAACGTGTTGATCCGGTGCCCTGAAGTTGTTTTCCTTGTCTGCTCGTTTGCCATGCTCTGCCGGGCCCTATAGATCTTAAGCCAAGACCACCAAAACCCTAAATCTGTAATCGTACACCCTAAATCAAGTTGAACTAGCCTAAAACCGCGGACTCTAAACCCAAGACCACCAAAACCTTAGACCCCTAAACCCTAAACCCTAAACCCTAAACCCTAAACCCTAAACCCTAAGCCCAAGACCACCAAAAGCCTAAACCCAAAAGTCTCCGAAGCACTGACCACAGATTCGCAGCCATAGTTCCAAAGGCAATGATTCAGCAACAGCAGCTGGCCGGTGCGAGGACGTCCTGCTTCAACTCTTTATGTTGTTCACGGGTTTAGGGGCTTAGGGTTTCGGGGTTCAGAGATTAGGGGTTTTGGAGTTTTGAGTTCAGGGGTTTTGGGGTTTTGGGGTTCGGGGTTGGGGCTCAGGGTTTAGGGATTATTTTGGGGTTTAGGGCTAGGGTTCGGGGTCTAGGGTTGAGGGCTTAAGGCTAAAGGCGTGTCGACCAAAATGGGAAGCCGTAGTAGTAGTAGTAGTAGTAGTCGTCGTCGTCGTCGTAGTCGTCGTAGTAGTAGTCGTAGCAGTAGTAGTAGTAGTAGTAGTCGTCGTCGTCGTCGTCGTAGTAGTAGTAGTAGTGGTGCCAGGCATATTCTGGCCACACATGGCGGTCCGTGATACATCATGCTGCGTCTGTGTCCGAGCCGTGGTGCCCTTTCTCACAACCCTAACTCGCAACCCCAAACCCTAAACCCTAAACCCCAAACCCCTAAACCCTAAACCCCTAAAGCCCTAAACCCTAAACCCAAAACCCCTAAACCCTAAACCCCTAAACCCTAAACTCCAGTTGATAGTTGCGATATGTTGTGGGGATCGGGCAGATCGTAAGTCTCCAGCGGTCCATGTACCCACATAGCATGTACTTGGGCCCTAAGGGACCGGTTTAGGGTTTAGGGTTTAGGGTTTAGGGAAGGCCAAAGTATATAGTAATTAAGTACATCGACCTTGGGGAGTGGCTTAGGGTTTAGGGTTTAGGGTTTAGGGTTTAGGGAAGGCCAAAGTATATACTAATTGAGTACATCGACGTTGGGGAGTGGCTGTAGTGTTTTGACCGGATTACGGGCGTCTCGGGTTCAAACTTCTGTTGGAATAATGTATACTGAGAAGAGCGGAGTCTTATAGCATCGACGTAGGAATATTCGTATTACACCTACTGTTTAAGACTCCTTGTTAGCCATAGTTGTGCTCTACTATACCCCGAAACCTTGTTAGCACCCGTGTATTAATTACTATGTCCTTGGGCCAGCAAGGCTCAAGTTCCTTGAAGCACAAAGCCCTACACTCCTACACGGCCAGGATCAGTTCTGTGAACATGTGCTTGAAGCACATGGCCGTGTACTACATTCCCAGGTCTTTGCTGAGCCGCTTGGCCTTTTCAGGATTTGTTACTGGGCTTGTAGAATCAATCTTCTCAGTCACGTTCTTATGGCATGCCCTAAACCTTAACCAAGCCTTAACCCTTAACCGCAACCCCTAAACCCTTAAACCCTTAAACACTTAAAGCCCTTAAACCCAAATCCTAAACCTTAACACCCCTATACAAACCCAAAGCTGTTGTTGGGGCTACCTTGGTTCCGCATGTCGGGTTGACCCTTCTTGAGCTCTTCGACCTCTACATACAGGATCGTTCCCAACCCTTAACCCGAAACACTTGGCATTCAGGGGTTTAGGGTTAGGGTTTAGAACCTTTAGGGTAGTAGTTTAAGGTTTCTTGCGCTTAGACGTAGGCTTCTGGCCTTCAGGGTTTAGGGCACAGGTGCCGAGCTCCTTGTGGAGATTGGTCTCCTGACACAAGACGGCGATGCCGCGAGTGTTTCTTGGCTATCAGCTCGTGTGTTGAGGGTTTTAAAGGATGTTGTATGGTATGCGGTCTTCGCAGTCTTTGCATGTTTAGGGGTAAGAGTTTTAATTCGGAGTTGTTGATGTTTTGTGGTGTAGGGGCAAGGTTTTCGCATGTTTTAGGGTTTGGGCTTTGGGGTTTCAACTGTGCTAGGGTTTAGCGCTATGGGTTTTAGGCGTTCGGGTTGGAGGTTCCAGACTTGGTCTCGCATTGCTTCAGTCATCAGATGTCATTAGCGATGTCTTCAGCTACTAGTACTTGAGGTTTTGCAGTTGCTAACTGTTCTGACCTGCATCTTGGAGGGGGGGAGACTTTTGCTGCAGGGGATACTCGTGCTCTCAAGCGATTTGGGTTTGCACCTTTCAGCTTTCCACGCAATGATAACCCTAAACCCTAAACCCAAAACCCAAAACCAATCCCTAGACCCTAAACCCTAAACCCTTATTTGCAGGATTCGATGCACACGTCCATGGAAGCCATGGTTTCGGCCTTACCCTAAGCCCCCCCAAAACTGAAGCCCTCCCCCAGAAAGCCCCAGACCATCTTAGGAGCCTGAAACCTTAAACCCTAAACCCTAAAACCCTAAAAGCCTAAACCCTTAAACCCTAAAACCCTAAACCCTAAAACCCTAAACCCTAAAACCCTAAAGCCCTAAAGCCTAAACCCCTAAACCCCTAAACCCCTAAAGCCCTAAACCCCTCAGGGTAAATACCCAAAGCGAAGTACCCCTTCGATGCCTTCAACCTCAAGCACTACCTCCTCAGACCCAGAGCCGATAGTACCTATAGTTTCTGGTTTAATGTTTAGGTTTAAGGTTTAGGTTTAGGGATTTAGGGTTTAGGGTTTAGGGTTTAGGGTTTAGGGTTTAGGGTTTAGGGTTTAGGGTTTAGGGTGGTCTCCATTGTAGTTCGTTTTTTGGTTTAACCAACTATATATTAAGGATTTTTATCAGGTATCCCCAAAAAGGAACTACAATGGAGACTATAGGTGCTGTTAAAGTCTGGAAAGGTTCTAGCAAGGCCCTGTCAAGGGATGTAGAGAGGCTCTACAAGACACGGTGTATAAGTTTGCGATAAGTGATCTGCAAAGTCAACCAAGGATTCGTGATTCAAGCCGCAGTCGTTCGAGGGTTTAGGGTTTTTCAGGTTTACTATTTATGGCCCGTGCTGAAGCCGAATCACTCGGGTGGCCTTTGCCCGAAATTCCGAGGGCCTACTTGAGGCTGATGGGTCCCCGATGGGTAATGCGTGAAGACTACATCCAATTACAGCGCTCGTTGCCTTACTTCTACATAGCATATTCGTGACTCCACATGAGCCATCATGCGGATCTTCCCTAAACCCTAAACCCTAAACCCTAAACCCTAAACCCGGAATCCTAGACCCTGCAAGCTGCACTTACATCCAGCAACGCCCTTCCGACAAAAAGCCATCGGCCCCTGACATCAACAGCCCCGCACGTAGCGGTTTGACCCTAAAGGCCCCTTGAGCCTGACGTAAAAGTTTAGGGTTTAGGGTTTAGGGTTTAGGGTTTAGGGGTTGAGCTCTCATCCCTAACAGCCTAGTCCCAACCTACACGACGTATCCCAAAGGGTCAGATTCTCAGACTTGGAACCTTGAAAGGAACCCACCCCAACGTCTGAACCTGCCATACCCTAAGAGTCCATGTGTCCAAGTTAGTACATACATGGTCCCTACAGTACCCATATCATATAGGGACTCCTTTAAGGCCAAGGTAGATACTATATGAGTACACGGAACTTATCAGGACCTATAGCATGGCAAACCGTCTTCAACAAATGAAGGAACCTGCAAACAATATCTGTATATGTGTGTATGTATGTGTATATATACATATATATATATATATATATCTATCTATCTATCTATCTATCTATCTATCTATCTATCTATCTATATCTCTCTCTCTCTTCCCCTCCCTCTCTGTATGCGTAACCTGCCTTGGAAGATTTGAGTCGACCCAGGACGTGTCCCGACGTGTCCAGAAGCGCGGCTGCAATTCGCGATCTATGGGTCTAGTCAGTTTAGGGTTTAGGGTTTAGGGTTTAGGGTTTAGGGTCTAGTCCTAGGTAGTATTAGGGAGCCCCTTACAGGGGACCCTTCTTAACCCTACTAATGGCTCTCTTGAAAGGGACCTTACTGAGAGGAATCCCTATAGCTAAACCCTATTACTCACTATAGATCCGTATCATTGTAACTTAAGCCAAGTTCCTTAACAAGAGTCCAAGTAGCCCATCCCAGAGATTCCAGAGTTTGGGGCTCGGGGTTATACGTTTTGGGGTTCAGGGCGTCGGGTGTTGAGTTTGTGAGTTCAGTTGAGGTGCTTGGATTCGGGGCTTCCGAGCTTTGGGTTTGCAGGTTTTCGGTTGTAGGGTGGTTTGGAACAGCACTTTTAAACTTGGCTCGAGATGTTTTAGTAAGCTGAGTTTGACACCGGCCACCTAAACTCGACATGTTATAAACCAAAAGCCTAAGCCGGAGGCTGCTGTTTGCAAGCCAGACCTGCAATTGAAGATAGACGTGCTCCGAGGAACTACCAGCTGCACTTAGGGTTTATGAGGGTTTAGGGTTTAGGAATGTGGTTTGTAGCTCAAGGTTTTGAGTTCAGGTTGGGCTTGCTGAGCAAGCTCTGCAAGGGCAGGAAGGGCCGACAAGGAGCTGAACGACCGGCCGGCACCCCCTTGTAACAGGTGAGAATCGAGAGTGTTTACGAGACATTGCTGGTAGCCCCAATACCACGACGATATCGCCACTCCGTGCTTCCTGCACGGCTGGGACAAGAACAACAAGAAGCCCAAAAGGGTCCACATAAACACAATCAATCATCAGACGCAATATCCAATGTCAGCGATAAGAGGGTTCTTGGGTATACTTATTGTACTGTACTGTAAAGGAATGTGAGGTGAGATTGTTACTTATTGACCATATACTCCCCCTAACACTATCCGACACCACTACGAGATCCTAAAAGTAAAAGCCCTCATTAAGCTTACAAGCCCTATACAAAAAATGATAGAGCCCTCTGCAACCCTTATACTAAAGCCTGTGAAAGCCCGAAAAGCCCCTGACCCTCACCACATCCTGAACACCCTAAACTTTGAAGCCCCGAAACCGGAAACCCCAAACCCCTAAACCCGAGGCCCTGAACCAATGTAGAAGCCCAAATAATTACCAATATTGCTCTGAGGGTTACCTATCATACCCATACCATATCACAAAAGAGCCCCATACCAATTATTCAGGCCCCTGAGCCCTGCACCCTTCTTGTAGCCCTTACAGAACCCTTCAAGGAACCCTTGAAAGAAACCCTATTCTAGTTATTAAGGCCCCTACAGTATTTAAGCCCTAAACCGTAAAGTCAGGATCTTCCCGGAGTTGTTCGCAAAGCTCAATGCGCTGGGCGGCAAGTGGTCAGCCCGCAGCATCGTCTTCGAGCATACCATGCAGGATGCCCTAAACCCTAAACCCTAAACCTCAAACCCTAAACCCCAAACCTGAATCCCCAAACCCTAAACCCTTAAACCCTAAACCCTGAACCCTGATGGGCTTCTTCGGGTGGCTTACCCATAGGCTCCATTGTACTTCCGTTTTGTGGTTTGCGTTTGGGATCCTATAAGGTAATCCCAAAAAGGAACTACTGTGGAGTCTATGGGTAAGCACCTGGACCTGCCTTGTTAGAACTGCCTGATATGAGTTCCTCATATATGTCTTCGAGAAGGTATAGGTTATTCAGGGTCCAAGAAATCTTGAGGATTGTGCACGGCAGCAGGGTTAAGGATTGGATTTCGTGTGAATTGAGGCCGTTTTCGGATGTTGTAGGCAAGAGCTGTAGAATGCATATAACCCTCAACCCTAAGCCCTAAACCCTAATCCTATAATACATATAACCCCAAACCCTATAAGCCTATAGTACATATAACCCTAAACCCTAAGCCTTTTGTACATATAACCCTAAACCCTAAGCCTATAATACATATAACCCCAAATCCTAAGCCTATAGTACATATAACCCTAAACCCTAAGCCTAGAATACATATGGGGGTTTGGGGTGGTTTTGGTGGAGGAGCTTCAGACTTTGAAGGTTCGGTTTGTAGGCTCAGCAGGGGCTTCAGGAGTGCTGTCGGTGTGGTTTACCACTCGTTCCGACGGTTTAGGGTTTAGGGTTTCGGGTCACAACTTGTTCACGTAGCCCCTAAACCCTAAACCCAAAACCGTGTCTGCCTGTTGAGTTTAAGGTTCAGGTCGCCGAGCACGCGGCACTCAACCCTAAACCCCGAATCCCTCAAACAATGGCGTTTTTTGCGGGGTTTGAGAGGGGATCCCAGAAGGCTCCCTTCGGGAGTTCCTTGCATGGGGCAGGGTTTAGGGTCTATGCCCCAAGCCTAAACCTTAAACCCTAAATCCTATGCGCCAAGCTTTATTTCTCGTACCGGATACCGGTTCCTTCGAGGGCTTTCCCAAGCAACCGTCCTTGTACCTTGTCGGGGCTCCTGCACGTCTCCCTAGGGTTCAGGGGTTTAGGCTTTAGGGAAACTTTAGGGTTTAGGGTTTAGGGGTTATAGGGTCTAAGGCCAAAGAAACTCCGCGAAAGAATCCTGAAAACCCTCAGACCCTCAGCCCTCGTGAGACATGGCCCACTTGAGGGTGGCAACCTGGAGGTGTCAGGGTTTAGGGAAGCGCCAGTACTTAAAGGAGCATGGGACTTAGTAAGTCAGGTTCTAAGTCCGTTAATTCGGGTTGTAAGTAAATATAAGTATAGTT